AGGCTCCTTGCTTTATGTTCCATGCCCATTCTGCTGGGTCTACTTCAAGGTTTTCTAGTGGTATTTGGGGGCAATATAGGGTTAATTCCTCATTTTCTATAACTCTTATCTTCCTTAGATTGTCTTCCCTACTGTAACTTGCGCTGTTGAGTTTTTGAGGATCTTGCTAAAGTCTGAACCTGGTTCTTCTATTTCATGCATAGTAAATGTGTGCCAGTTTGGATTGCCCTCTTCTCTACCCCAGTATGCTAGCGCGTGTTTCCGTTGGGGTTCATTCAGTAAAATTGCCCAGTCTCCTGCAGACCACTGTCTGTTTTTTTTAAGTGTCACCATCCAGTCTTGTGGTATGGCTGCTATGATTTCTTGTAGATTCTGATTTAGTCTGTGGCAGCCTTTAAGCTGTTGTCTGAGTTGGTTACTTTGTTTCCAGTCTCTGGTGTTGTCGTCCCATATGTGTTTGATCTGCCATATTCCTTTTTCTAGCCATACTTCCCATTTTGTGTCCTTTGAAGTCAGTGTAAATGGGCCTCCTTCTTTCTTGGTTATCCATTGGTTACAGAATTGGGGTTGTCTTAGTATTTCTTCCTTATTGCTCGGTTTCCTGACTTTAGCTGGGAATATCTCTCTCCAGTCGCGGAGGATCCCTCTCCAGAAACACAAACGGGACTGGTTTCTTGAGTGTATTGTGTTGTGGTTTCTCCCTTTCATTGACCATGATTTGCTCATTAACCAGAAGGTACCCTCCATGTTAGCCGGGGTGTTATATATTGGTAGTTGTTGTATCCCATCTAGGGCTAACGTTCTCCATGGTAAGCTAGGTCTAGTGATGAGCTTTAGGATCCATTTTGTTTGTAGAGCTTTTATTTGGGTTGTGGGGTCTAGGGTCTAGTACACCCAGTCCTCCTTGCTCCTTTTTCCTCGTGACATACTGCCAAGCGACTTTGGTTATGAAGTGTTGTCTGGTAGCATCTCCTGTCCACAAATATGTTGTGGCTTTCCTTGTTAGGTTTCTCAATGTCCCGTGATCTGGTGCCCAGAAGGCTGCCACGTACCACATCATTGCGAAAATGGATGAGTTTAGTATTAGTGCTCTACCATATAGTGAGAGGTGAATTTTGCCCCAGTCGCTTAATTTGTTTGTCATCTTGGCTAGGAGGCTAGGGGACATTTCTGTCTCTGCTCCGTGTTCTGTCATCTGGATTCCTAGGACTCTTAACGGGTCTTTCGCGTCGGACCATTTCATGCCTTCTAGAGTGTTTTGAGGGAGGTCAACGCTTCCGTCCGTTAGCCACCATCCCGTCGTTTTTTGCCAATTTATTCGCATTCCAGAAGCTAGTTGAAATGCCTGCATGGCTCTGGTAAGGGCCTCGAATGAGGAGTTGGATGCTCTTACGAGTACAGTCAAATCATCTGCGAACATGATCGTGGGTGGTATGTGGTGTGGTCTGTTGGGGTCTTCCGTAGGGTTTGTGAGACGTTGTATAGATGGGTCTTTCCTGAGGAATGAGGCTATTGCTTCCATTATAAATAGGAATATGGGAGCTGCTAGTGGGTCACCTTGTCTTACAGACCTGGACATCTTGTAGAGATTGGATATGTGGCCGTTTACTTGAACTGCTCCGTGTGCATCRTTGTATAGCACTCTAACCCATTTYYTGAAGTTTGGACCCACGCCCATCTTTTCCATGCACTGCTGGAGGAAGTCCCAGTTGACTTGGTCGTAGGCTTTCTCGAAATCAAAGAAGAGGATTGCTGCATTCGGCTTTTTATCTTTAATGTATCTTACTGATTCAGTTAATGTCATTACATTGTCTAATATGAATCTGCCCGGGATGAAGCCTGTTTGATCTATATGGAAACAACTTTTGGTGATCTGTCTTATTCTGTTTGCTAGGAGCTTGGCTAAGATCTTATATGCAACAGTTAGTAATGTGATTGGTCGGTAATTTTTGATGTCTGTGGGGTCCCCTTTTTTGTATAGTAGAGTGACTATTCCAGTACTAAGGTATTTTCCTAAGCCATCGGAATCCCATGCTGATCTTATGAATTTGCAATATTCATCCCCTAGGAGTTCCCAGTATTTTTGCCAAAATTCTTTCGACAGTCCGTCTTGGCTCGGGGTCTTCCCTGTTTTCATTGAGTCCAAGGCTTTTTTGATTTCTACGTTTGTTATGGGAGCGTCTAGTTCCTCTGCTAGTGCCACTGAAATTGTTTTGGACAAGTGTTTACTGAATTTTTCTCTTGCTCTTATCACTCGACCTGGAGTGGGTTGTTCTGTTTTAGAGGTATAGAGGCTTTTATAAAAGGATTCTGCTATTGCTAGCATCTTCTTTGGGTCTGAAGTAAGGCCATGCTCGCCTCTAAGTTGGTGAATGGCGGAGTTCTTCCTCTTGTTTTGATTTTTTGGAAGAGGAACTTTGTCATTCTCTCCCCTTCTTCCCACTCTCTGAGTCTCATTCCTTTTGCTTTCCATGAATTCCAGTTGCCTAGTTCTGCTCTTGCTTTGGCTAGTGAGTCCTCGTATGAAGTCTGTCCTGGGTTACTAATGAGGTTTCTTTCTGCTACTCGGACTGCTACTTCTAATTCTTTGATGCACCGGTTCCTTTTGTCTGCCAATTTCCTAGAGGCTAAGGATGCTGCTTTAGATAGGTTGGCTACTATGGACGGGAAGTCTGATCCTCTTTTCTCCGAGTCTATGCACGCTATAGTTATTGCTTCTTTCATTTGTTGGGTTTCTATAATGGAGTTGTTAATCTTGAAAAAGGATGGGCCTTTTTGTAAACCGGGGTCAAAAAGGAAATTAATGAAGGTTGGGCTGTGATCAAGACCGTCGTTGTAAGGCATTTTGCCTATTCCTACTTTGTGGATTGTTCCTCTGAGGGATTCGGAAACTAAGAAGTAGTCTATTGCTGAGCTTGTTGTGTGTTGTGATCTGTTCCTTTTCCTAAAGGTAAATCTTAACGCTTCTGGGTGGAATGTTCTGAGGGGTTCTATTAGTTGTCTTTCCAACATGAGAGCGTTCATTTCTTGAGTCTCGCTTACTGAGGCTTCTTCCCTGTCTGACCGTTGTGTTGAGATCCGATCTTTGGCTGGATCAAGTACAGTGTTCCAGTCCCCTACTAGTATCAGGTGTTTCTGTGTGTTGCATTTGTCTGAGATAAGTTGTATGAAGTCTCCTCTTTGCGTTGAGTCATTGGGTGCGTAGACATTTATTAATTGAAAGCTTTCTTCCTTGTATGTGAAATGAATTTCTATCCATCTTCCGTTTTCTGTGTCTGTTTTGCTCTCAATGATGTTGATTTGGTTGGCTGCTCTTGAGTTTCCGTTCCAGAGGATGGCTGTACCTGCTGAGCCGATCCTTGGGGACGGCGCCCATTGGCTTGCTTTTACGTGTTTCAATCTTGTCTGTATTTTGTTGATCATTGTTTGATGTTCTATTGAGTTGGATAGGTGAGTTTCTTGTAGGCATATTATGTCCGGTGGGCTTCTTGAGAACCAGTTGAGGTAGTTGGTTRTGTTGYCCMATTTTTGTTCATYASTTAAGACTGTTGCTAAGCCATTGACATTCCATGACATCATTGTCAACTCAGGCTCACTCGGTTTAAGGGTGTAGTGTCTCAGTTGGCCTGGGTGTGTGGCCTGGGTTGTGTGGTTAGGTGATGTCATGGAGGGATGGCTATGACCCCAKCCTTATCTCTCTCTGTGGTGGTGACTTAGTTGGGGGAGGATCCGAAGGGCTCTGTGCTGTGGATTTTAMCTACTCGGGCCCCCACCTCCAGTGTGTGAGCCAGGTGCTCTTGGTTGTCTGCGAAGAGTCCATGTCCTTCTGCCARCRACGCTGCAACCGCTGCTCTTTCTGCTGGGATATCTCCGCCTAGGAGGCCGTAGGGAATTGCTTGTATTACCTTCCATGGTTTCCATGTRAGATGTTCTTTGATCTTTGCATCCATTGAGTACTGTACCATGTAGKGTCTGAGGTCACAGATCRTCAGATCTCCTGAYGAGTCAATCCACTCCTCTCTCCAATCTTTCCATGAACCTAGAATGTGGGCGCTCATGGGGGCATCCCCTGAGATGTTGTTTGTCAGGGYCCTTTTGCTCRGTTTGGCAACTGCAATGAGGRCCCATGACTTGTTAATTGCTACTTCCCAATCTCCATGATTTGTGTTCCATCTGTAGGGGATTATCGCCCTTTTCYTGCAGCCACTTTTGGCTTYGAGCTTGGCAGCTGTGAATGTTTCTGCGTTTTGTCYCCCTGCCAACTTTTGCAGATTGATTGCCATATCRGATRTTTCCCTGTTCTGATYTCTTAGCACCGTGATTTGTGCTTTGAGGATCTCCTTTTGTCTGTCAAGGTCTTCCTTCTCCTCCAGCGGCCTGTTCTCTCCATCCTCCTCGTCCCCTGTGTCCTGAGAACTTGCTGTTGGGGTCGATTTTGCATTCCCTCTTCCCCCCTTGCGCCTCTTGCTCGGTTTTTGGGAGTCTGTATTGTTGTAAGATTTGGGCCAGATCCAACTGTTCGATGTGTGAGACCCTTGGTTGGCTACCTCTTCCAATTTGGCGCCGTAGCGTTCAGCAAAAAAGTCTGACAATTCCTGTTCCTTTTCTAGGATTTCGTATTGGTTGTCTGTGGGGAACAGATTGCTCAGCGTTTGCTGCGTCGGGTTGAAGTTCTGCAGATTGAAGATGTGTTTTTTGTGTGCGATCCTGATTTCAAATTCAATTTCTCTTTCTCTTTTCAGCCCCTTGACATATTTTGAAAGCCAATTGAGCGAGTCCTCCTGATCTTCTTCCCCTGTTACATCTGTTGCGTCTTGGTTCGTACCCATGTGAGAGTCTCCCTCTGCGGAGTCTTGCGACATGTTGTCGTCTGTTTTCCTTTCGTCTACTTCCTCCTTTTCTTCTCCTTCTCCTTGTTCTCCTCTTCCTTTCGGAATGTCTGTTTCATCTCCTTCTTTCATCATTTCTTCTCCTTCTTTACTGCCTCCTTCCTTAGTCCCTCGCTGTTTTTTCCCTTTGTTGGCTGCATCTCCCACTGTTCCCTCTTCGTTGTCTCCTTGACCTTCATCCGTCTCAGCTTCCATCTCTTCAGTTGCTGTGACAGGGCCTCTAGGCTTGCTGCTTTTGTCTTGTGATGTGCTGTGTCGGTGAGTTTGGGGAGGGTTGATTCGCTTTTCTTTTGAGCTTCTTATTTGAGCCGTTGGTTGTGCTTTCCTTCTGTGGTATCTGGGAGTCTTTGGTGCCTTGCGAGGAGTTCTGAGTTTTGGAAGATTGAAGGATCTTTCCTCTTRCCTGTAAGTTCTCGAAGAATGCTTTTTCTGYTGAGCTGCCTGTTTTGATCAGTTCTTGCAGGGTGTCTTTCCTGTGTTTGTCTTCCATAATCCCCTGCGTGTCCAGAATTGGCTTTTTCRGGAAACCCCCTTCTTTATCCTCAATCTTCCTYGCCCCCTTTGTTTGCCATTGGCTGCCATGTKGAGGGTAAAYGTCGGGTTGAACCRATGGTTCGGTCTGTAGTGTCCACACCCATTTTGGGTCTTTCAGYCTGTCATCGAAGACCCAACCTCTGTAGGTGGGGTCGTCAACAAACCACAGGCCTGACATTGCTTCGCACTCGACCAGGTTCGCTTGGATTTGGCCTGGTTTCCCTGCTCTGTCCCTGTTGAGTGGGCAATTTCTGTCTGTGCCCAGATGACCTTTCCCTCTGCACCTGAAACAACGTGGATTGGATTTGGTGGAGAGGAATACTGTCAATTTCTGACCATTCGATTTTTGGAACACCCAGGTGTCTGGGAACTGTGGCGGGATGCCTGAGGGAACCTCGAGACATGCAATCCTGGAATCATGGTTGGGTGCTAAGAATTCAGGACCTGAAGCCAGCCATTCGATAACAGGGTTGTTTGGGTAGGCCTTTGCCAATCTGTGTTCTACAAGGCTGTGCAGTCCTTCTGCGATGTTATCAAACTGGATCCAAAAATGATTCCGCAGCATGGTTTGCCTGTGTCTTGAGGCATCAGGCTGCGGTGCTCGTCTGGGTTTCCAATTTGTAACGGTGACCACTCCTTTCCTGCACTTGAGACTGTTTAAGGCTATCACATAGTGTGCATAAGCCTTATCCGGAGTAACTATCATGACTGTGTTGTGCGCTCGCTTGTGGTAGGTGACGTCTGGTTCCGTGCTCGGGATTTCTTCTAGGGACCTAAGAGTGTCCCGAACCCAAGTTCTTTTTTCGTTTGGGGACATGTCTGCGCATTTCTGAGGAAAGTTAAAGAGAACTGCGTGCTTGTTAAAAACTTCTTCACAGTTTGTTTCGTCCTCTTCCGGATATTCCCAAATCTCCACTTACTCTTCTCCTTCTCCCTCATCTGATGGGATCGTTTGTTTGATGATGTTCACCTTGGATTTGATCCGCGTGCTTGATATGAGGAATTCCATAGCTTTTTGGCCTAGTGATTTGGAGGCTGAGTCCGCTGTTGAAGATTGTGGACCTTTCTGTGAGCCATCCAGTGGGTGTGTTTGAGTTCCGGTTACTGGGTTTGGTTGTACGTGCRGCTGTCCTCCTGGGATGGGTTCATTCCTCGGGTACGTGGGACTTGCTGGTTTCTGGGGYGCGGKTCCTTTCCCCAGTGCTTCTGCGTATGAGATTGCCATGTTGTGCGTGGGGTCAGATTGCGTTGTCTTGTCTCTTGTGTCGATCGTTGGTCGCTGTCTTTGTTTGGAGAGAAACGACGTGCAGTTTGTCCGAATCGGGATCAGAAGTGGGAATATTCGGGATCAGAAGAGGGAATAGTCCCAAGGATTGGCCGGCGTATACACGCTCTTCTTGGGAAAAAAAAAAAAAAAAAAAAAAAAAAAAAAGGTTTGAAGACGGCAATTAAAAATCCTCTTCTCTGAGAGTGGGGACGTCCTTACTCCGTTTGGGGGGAAGGATTTATTAAAAGAATTGGACAATTTAAAGAATGTGTGGATCGAATCTTTCCACGGGTTTGCAGTATTAGGCTGTTCGCCTATAATAATAATAAATAATAATAATTATAAATAATAATAACGTTGTGCAGAATGTCTGCCCGATAAAAAATAATGGTTAATGATTACTTTATTCCCAATATTTTGGGAAAAGGATTTGGGGAAAA